GTTAATTAATCATAATAAATTTTAAAGTAGGTTTGATAATTTGAATAGTGAGAATAAATGATGTTGGTTCTCAACTCATTAAATTATGTAGATTTTAGGTCTTAAATTACATCTCTACTCTCTCGTGAGAACTTTGACAGGTTGTAAAATTATTATATTCATAGCATCATTATCTATTTGAAAAGATGAGGGAAAATAAGCATAGAATCGAAAAAGCCATGCTAGGGGAAAAAAGTTAGTGTAAGGACAAAAAATATATCATGAAATGAGTTATATATATTAATTAGAGAAAGAATTCATAAACATTAGTTACAAGAATCATTTATCATATGTAATATATGTGTGATACGTCTCAATGAAAGGTATCTCGTTCTGATCAATATTAGAATTTGACTTGGTATCAGCTTATAAGGTTCTTTCTCTCCATTCTTTCGATCCCTCCTTCCCATCACCATGTCATCCACTGCTTCCTCCACTGTCTCTTCATCATCAGTCTCTTCTTCGTCGTCTCTGACGACTGCTTCTGTTTCCGCTCATATTGGTCACTCTATTATTTCTACTCCTCATAAAAATCTTCAATTGCATAATATCATACGTGTTCCTTCTCTCACGAAGCCCCTTCTTTCTGTCCAAAAATTATGCAGTGATAATAATTATTCAGTTGAATTTCACCCCTTTTCTTGTCTTGTAAAGGATCGACAGTCTCTGGCGACACTCCTACGCGGAGGAACTAAGCATGGACTCTATAAGTTTGGCGGTCCATCCACCCTTCAGCCATCATCCCCTGCAGCTTTCTTAGCCAATGTCGAGATGTGGCATGCTCGTTTAGGACATCCTAGTTATGTCACTGTTCGGCAGCTAGTTAATAAATTCAAACTTCCATGTAGTTCTTTTAAACGTTTTTCTGAGCAATGTCATGCTTGTTGTCTATGGAAAATGCATCAAAGTAGCCTTCGGTTAAAGTTTAATCGTAGTTCCAAACCCCTGGACTTAATCCATACGGATGTTTGGGGGCCTGCACCTTTACTTTCATATCATGGTTATCGTTATTTTGTCATTTTTATTGATGATTTTTCCTTGTTTACATGGTTCTTTCTTATCAAACAAAATAGTGATGTCCTCTCCATTTTTCAGCAGTTTAAAGTTCTTGTTGAAAATCAATTTCACACCACAATTAAATCTGTTCTTTCTGACTGGGGGAGGGGGGGGGGGGAGTTTCGCTCCCTTAACACCCTTCTTAAGAATCATGGTATTGTGCATCGTCTTGCTTTTCCTCACACACATGAGCAAAATGGCACGGCCGAAAGGAAAATCCGACAAATTGTTGCTCTTTTAGGGCATTCTAGTGCTCCATTTAAATTTTGGGAATTTGCCTTTGAAACGGCTATCTTTCTCATTAATCGGATTCCCTCCACCTCTATCAAAAATCACATCCCCTACACTCTGCTCTATAAAAAACAACTGGATTTTTTATTTTTATGACTTTTCAGTTGTGCCGTATATCCCAATTTACGACCCTATAGTCGCCAGAAATTTTCCTTTAGGTCCCACCAATGTGCATTTTTCGGGTACTCTCCTAGTCATTTAGGCTATCGTTGTCTCAATTTAGCCTCTAATCGCAACTATATTGCCCGTCATGTTCGCTTTGATCAGTCAATTTTTGCTTTTGCTAAGTCAACCCAAACACCTTCTTGGCCGTCTTCGATTCCCAGTCCATCGGCCACCTCTCATCCACTTATTCAAATTTCCATATCTCCTCCTCAACAACTTATCTCAGCTCCCCCGCCTGTTTCCCTCTCTCCCACGCTTCTAGAGTCATCCACTGTTATGCCTCTTTCCCCTAAAAATCCTCCTTCATCACGTGTCCAGGATGACCAATTTCCTTCTCCTAGTGTTTCCTTTCTCAACCCTAACCCTACTTCGGTCTCTGCCACCTCTATCACTTCATCCTCCTCTCCTTCGAAGTCATCGTCCTCTATCGATCCTCCTTCTCCTTCTCGTCGCGGACTCCACCTCGTGGTTGACCTTGACGACTCGTCATCGGACTCCCCATCTAGTCCACCTCCTGCTCGCACTCATCACATGACCTTGCGCCCCACTACCCTAGCCAAGACAAAATTTGCCAATCATACCTCACTTCGCTCCACCCTTCCGGTAGCTCCTCTTTCTTTTTTGCATGCAAAATCTCAGTCTCAATGGAAGCAAGCAATGCAGCGAGAGTATGATGCTCTCATGGCCAACAACACTTGGACATTGGTCCCACCACCTCCTTCCACAAATGTTATCGGCAATAGGTGGCTATACAAAGTTAAAACTCAGTCTGATAAAAGCTTGGAACGATGTAAGGCTAGGTTGGTTGCTAAGGGATTCTCTCAATCCTTTGGTATTGATTACACCGATACCTTTAGTTCGGTAATCAAACCTGTCACCATTCGAACGGTTTTATCCGTGGCTGTAAATCATTCTTGGACTATCAAGCAAATTGATGTGAGTAATGCATTTCTCAATGGGACGCTCAAGGAGGTTATCTATATGGTTCAACCGCAAGGTTTCATTGATCCACTTCGTCTGCACTATGTCTGTAAACTTAATAAGTCTTTGTACGGGCTCAAACAAGCACCGAGAGCGTGGTTCTCTTGCCTTAGTGACTTCTTTTTGTCACTTCACTTTCGTCAGTCGCGATGTGATCCGTCGTTGTTCATCTTTTCCTCTGCCAACTGTGTATGCTTCATTCTCGTTTATGTCGATGATGTGATTGTCACCAGGAATACACCATCCTTTGTTCGGACTGTGATCCACTGCATTGGGACTGAATTTGCTATTAGGGATCTTGGAGACTTGCATTTTTTCCTGGGAATTGAGGTTCTTCGACGTCCACAAGGCCTCATTCTTTCTCAGCAGTGCTACATTCTTGATATGCTTCAAACAGCAAATATATCTTCTTGCAAACCATGCTCTACTATTCTTTCATGCTATGTTGGGTACTCATTATCTGAGGATGAGGCAGCTTCTTATCGTCGGTTATGTGGGAGTCTTCAATATGCTACACTTACTAGACCCGACATTTGTTTTGCTGTCAACAAGTTGTGCCAATTTTTGCATCATCCAACCTCCATTCACTTCCAAGCACTCAAACAAGTATTGAGGTATCTCCGGGGCACTGCTGATCGTGGACTTTGGCTGCGTTGTTCATCGTCCCGTGTTGTTTCAGCCTTTACAGATGCCGATTGGGCCGGCTGTCCTGATGACCGCAAGTCTACAACGGGTTTTCTAATTTATTTTGGCCCTAATTTGCTTGCTTGGACGTCCAGGAAGCAATCAACCGTGGCTCGGTCATCGACTGAAGCTGAATTCCGCTCTGTTGCCAATGTGTGTTTGGAGCTTCATTGGCTCTGTCATCTTCTTGCTGAATTGGGAGTTCCATTGCGTGCAGCTCCCACGGTTTGGTGCGATAACAATGTTGCGGTCTACTTGGTTGCTACTCTTGCCTTTCGCGCTCGCACCTGGCACATTGAGGTCGACTTTCATTTTATTCGACAGCATATTCTTCAAGGTTTTGTGAATGTTAGAAGTGTTTCAGCTGCTGATCAGCTAGCCGATGTTCTCACAAAACCGTTGGCTAAAATTCCGTTTGTTCGGTTCCGTGACAAACTTTGACTACTCCCAATCCCGTCTTCAGTTTGAGGGGGCGTGTCATAGTTATCTTGAGTTATGATTATCATGTTATAGTTTGAGTTGTATAGAATCTGGACTCTTATCTATTGTATATATTTTCTCTGATGTAATGTACTATATATGTGTGATACGGCTCAATGAAAGGTATCTCATTATGATCAATATTAGAATTTGACTGATACAACCTACCTATCCAGAGACATGAGAGAAAATTCTACTACACTATACACAGAGAATAGGTTCTTTATCACTTGATTGAGACAGGTACACTTGATTAGTGGATACAAGGTTGGATCTCTCGAAGCTTTAATTACTGCGGGTTTTCGCATCGGTTTAAGGTCAGTAAAATCCTTCAGTCCGAAAAATATATATTCTTATAAGAACTACTAAAGATTAGTCAAGATTAATACTGGACAAAGCATTTTCAAATCTATATTTTTCTATAGCCAAGTGTGCTTTATTTTTTGACTAAACCACATAAAGAAGTGATGAAACAATTGGGTGAAAGAATGACGAAAGATATAAAGAGTAAGCAATTGTAACTACAAAGGTTTGGATGCTCGAAACTTGATGGCTACAATGAGGGAAAAAAAATCAGACGTGAAAAAAAAACCTATGTACTAGTAAAATAGTGGTCATATAGAGAGTGAAAACTGATTTGATTTTTTTTCATGCAAAATTTTCTTTAAAAAGGAAAAAAAAAAAGTCTATTATTAATACTCAGTCAACACATTTTACCACATTTATTTCTTTGAATCTTAAACACACTCTTAAATTCATAGTCTTTTTTATAATCCATGTACTGGCCACGCATAACAATTGAGAGGAATAATTATAAATTTTTGCATAAAAAATTTTATTTAAAGGGGAGAGGAATAATAACAATTTTAATTAAAAAATATTAATATTTTCTTGAGAGTATAAAACATTACACAAAAAATAAGTGTAAAATAGATAATGAAATTTCATCATAAATTGGGATCAAGACAAACAACACTATATAATCCTATATATCTTACTATATATTAAGGGAATTTTTTTTACAAGACACATGTCAGTCAATTAGATCATCCATAATTTTCAATTACACGTGTCATCTTATTATTCGTAGAGAATTTTATGTAGTCCACGTGCCATGTTTTAATTCGTGAATTTCTTTTACTGTGTATTTTATCCAAGTAATATGGTTAATTTAAACAACAGTCAAATGGATATTCCCTAAAAAAAATAACTTCCTTCGAGTAGAAGATTAGCGCACACGATCTCCGAATCATCAATTTGATCGAAAAAATACCTCCAGCCACAAAGATCTCCAGACACGCCGATCACATAATTGACGTCATCTCCAACGGCCGAAGCAGAAGAGACCGGCGGCAATTGAAGACAACAGCGGAAGAGGAGGCGCCAATAGCAGCATCGACAGAGATCAATGCCTGTGTTTGGAGAGAAGGAAATGGTGGCGGCGTGGCATCGACAAGGGAAAGAAGACCATCGATAACTGCTGGTGATAGAAGAATTTTGATAAAACGGGACTGTTGTAGCAAGAATCGCAAAATTTACAAATTCGAGAAACAAAGACGAAAAACAGATTCAACTTCAGTGGCCTCTGAAAATGATGGAGAGCTCTATTGATTGTAGAAGCCTAAACAAGTTGCATAATCAGACAAAAAATCAGCCGAAATATTATTTTGGAGTTTGTTTTCCGGTACCGTTCTTGGTTGATCGACATAGCAGGTGTTTGATTGATTCCCAGCCAGCACGGATGGTTGGAGGCTATGTTACCCGGACTCTTCTATTTGGGGAGAATACCCGTGTCGTGTCATGTCGACACTTGTGTGGGTATGAGTGTCGGGTGTGGCATTTTAGCCTAAAATATTCAAGATTTCTAATATATTGACGAATCGGACACTCAAATCCCCGCACCCAATACGACACCCGTATCCGAGTCCAGGTAACATAGGTTGGAGGCTAGGAACAACGCTAATGGTGTGGGGAAGTTTCAAGGATTGATTATGATGGATTTTGCAGAATTTCGGGCCAAAACTTTAGAGGAACCAGAATTAAATGAAATCAATGAAGAGTGAGAAAGAAGGAAATGAGGCAAAACACAGAGATTTGGGAATTCCTTGAGAGTCTATTTTTCCCAATGTTTTTTTTTTAAAAAAAAATATTTATCGCGAATTTTAGCAAAAGCAACAACCCTCGAAGATTCAGGGGGATTAAATGTAATCGAGATCTTACTATATATTAAAGGAATTTTAATCAAAAGACACATGTCGTCAATTAGGCCATCGATAATTTTCAAGTACACGTGTGATCTTTTCATTCGTTGAGAATTTTTTGTAGTCCACATGTCATCTAATTCGTGAATTTTTTTACTGGGTATTTTATACAAATAACATGGCTATTTTAAACACTGTAAAATGGTTATTTTTAAAAAAATAAATTTACCTTTAGTATCTAATAAAAATTTACCGTGAACACTTCATTAGAATCTTAATGGACGAAATTCACCGAGATATCAAAAAATATACCCACCGACCGACGATGATACGTGTGATGATTCACCGGAAATTGTTTCTCTATTGTATTCTGTTTTTCTCATATACAGATGAAGTCAATCTGGTCACATTCCATACTCCGGAAATTGTTTCTCTATTGTATTCTGTTTTTTTCATATACAGATGAAATCAATCCGGTCACATTCTATACTCCGGGCACGTTCCATGCTTGAATTGTGAACTCTATACTCTGCATTTTTGGGAGACGAAACCAATGCGGTCGTTGAGGAAAATGGAGGGACTGGGGGTGATAAATCATGAGTTTTTGAGTTTTTGAGATAAATCCGATTTTCCAGCTAAATCGGATTCTCAAAATCCGACCTACCCTTAATACGAAAAATTAATGAAATTAATCAAGATTAAGAGAAGATCGGATTTTAAAAATCCGACCCTATTATATTAAAATAATATATTTTCAGAAAAACACTTAGTTTTTTTTTTTTGAAATAAAATTTTGACCAAAGTCGGATTTTTAAAATCCGATTTTAGCCTAAGGCCGGATTTCAGAAATCCGGGTAAGTTTAAATCGGATTTTGAGAATCCGTGTAAGTTAAGTTCGGATTCTCAAAATCCGATTTCTTCATAAAACAAGTAGAAAGTCGGATTTCTCAAATCCGACCTTGGACAGACACTTTGAAAAAAATAAAAGATTGGTTTCTAAACCAATCCCAATCTATCAAAACAGCACCAAAAACCAAATTTCACGAATAAAATTACCTATAAATACATTCTAAACACATCAAAACAAACATTAACAAATTCAAATCCCAAATCATCCAAATTACAACATTTATACATGAAAGAGTTATAAATTAAAGAGTCCTACAATTGAATTACTTTGACGACCTTTTCTTCCTTATAGCCCCGTCGCCGGGAGTATACTTCTTGGCCGGTTTACTAACCCTATCACTCTTGCGAACCTCGACCGTTTTCTTTTTCTTTTGGGAAGAAACACGAGGTGGACAGGACTCTTCTTCTTCTTCTTCTTCTTCTTCTTCGCCCCTAATGTAGTAATCCTCATCGCTTTCATTGCCTTCATCATTTTCATCTTCTTGCATCGGAGTTGGATTGGGATGAACTATGATTGTTCGATCTGAAATTCCCGGTCGCTTCCTCCTTCCTCCTCCAGTAGGCTTCGATGTTGTTTTCTGCGTGAGTACCACATTTTGACTTGACTCAGGGGGTCTTTTCTGAAGAACTTGAGTATCGGACTGAGTGCTCATATCACATGGGCCCAAAGTCAGGGCACTGAAACTCTTGTCGAAGATTTGGAAGAGTTTATCCTCTAGACTACCACCGAGGCTTGGATTTTCCCATAAGGCTGCATCAGCGAGATGATATATGTCGCTGAGATTTGAAGACTGCAGAAAATTGAACCATGTGAATAAAGTGTAAGATATAGCAAGAATTAAAATATAAAAAAAAATTTAAAATAAAATATCGATATATATCTTACATAAAATCTCTCCAGAGATGAAGACGAGTGATAACCCTGTGCCAGAGGGCCGTATTGAGTGGGATCAGTCATAAATCTGATAGTCTTCTTTTGAAACCATGGCATGTAGTCCGATGTGCATTGAGGACCTAGCTCCGGATCACCCAATTCATGAGGGACCACGTGCTGATCTCTCACATTCCAATGAGGTCGTACCTCAGTGTGTTTTTGCACCCAATCATCATATGCCTTTCCAGTCCCAAGGCATCCGTGGTGTATCGCATTCCAGCGATCAATGTCATTGATTAACGGGTACTTTGGCACAGTTTGGACGCATTGAAATTGACGAAGGACCCGATTGGGCTCGTATGGTTCTCTGATGGCCCAACAAAAGATCCACGTCCTACAGAGGTAGAAATTAACCCCCTCTTTATAGAAATCAGGGAGATCGTCGATGAAGGGAGTGTATGGAGTCCATAGAAACTGTCCAAAAATAAAAAATTGGTAAAAAAAAATAGAGAAAAATATGAAAAGGAATTTTATCAAGCAACTTAAATCAATACTTACATCCCCATCCCTTAGGCTAGATAACTGATCCCTGATGCCAGCAACACAATGAGCGGCGATGTTCGCTTTGGATTTTGGGCATTTTCACCTACCATTGAGACATAATAGGAAATAAAAAATAATAAAATAAATCATTGGATTTTAACATATAAGAAATAAAAAATAATAAAATAAATCATTGGATTGAGACATAATAGGAAATAAAAAATAATAAAATAAATCATTGGATTGAGACATAATAGGAAATAAAAATTGATAAAATAAATCTATAATTACCTATTGCCTAATGGTGCGTCCGGCACCAAGTAACTCTCATCTTTAACCTTCCTCTTTGGTTGAAGTCTTGGGATACGCTCCCAAACCCATAACTGAAATTTTAAATCAAATAGAAAAGGCACAAATTAGGAAAACAAACAAAAATATAATAAAAAAATATAAATAAACAAAGAAACACAAAAATTCACCTGCATCAGCATATAACATCCGGTAATGTCTTTTTTCCCGGGCGCGGAAGCTTGACACAGAGCAAAGTACAACTTCGCTCACACAGCTGACCCCCAACTGTAGGTAGCACAGACATCCAAATCCTCGAGTAATGTCAGGATCCAAAGTGGTATTCTGTTTCCCGTATTGTCAGGAATCAAGAAACCTCCAATCAGTAGTAACAATAATGCACGGGCCCTCTGTGTATAGGCCTCTCTTGGGGCATTTTCTGGGATCGGACGCAGACACTCGTTGATTAAACACTCTGCATAAATCTTATTCCCATCAAACATGTCACTAACGGGTGTAATTCCCAACAATCTAAAGCACATCGCCATCCACTGTGCCATAGAATTCTCAGGTGTCATCCCCTCCACAGGCTTACCATCCACTTTCAAACCTAATAACACCTCAACGTCTTCTAGAGTGATAGTGGCCTCGCCAAAATGAAAATGAAAGGTATGAGTTTCAGGCCTCCACCTCTCAACCATTGCGGTGATCAAACAATTGTCTGCTTGTATATAACCTAGTTGGATCACCCCCCCAAAGCCTGCCGCTTTATCTCATCTATAACTTGTGGAGGGCAATGCCGGGATGGTTTCTCTATACAAGTCCAAAAATGACTATCAAATCTCCTAGCTTTAAGGGCTTTACTAAAAGCCTCATGGTTCTCGAAAATGGCTTTCGCCCTATGATGGTCATATAGGTATAATAATGAGTCATCTATTGGAGCCGGATTAAAATGTTGCAGTGTAGGTTGCGAGGAACTCGAACCCTCCATTTTTTAATCCTATAATACCAAATACTATCAATACCAATACCATCAATACCATGTTCCATAACACACACACACACACACACACAGAGTCACAGGGAAACACACACACACACATCGGGAACTTGCATCGGAGTCACACACACACACACACAGTGCCGGCACACACAGAGTGCCGGCAACACACACACACACAGAGTGCCGGCACACACAGAGTGCCGGCACACACAGAGTGCCGGCAACACACACACACACACACACATTAACACAGTCACACACACACATTCACACAGTCACGGCAACACACACACACACACTGAGTGCCGGCAACACACACACACACACAGAGCGCCGACACACACAGAGTGCCGGCAACACACACACACACACACATTCACACAGTCACACACACACATTCACACAGTCACGGAAACACACACACACACACTGAGTGCCGGCAACACACACACACACACACAGAGTGCCGGCACACACAGAGTGCCGGCAACACACACACACACACATTCACACAGTCACACACACACATTCACACAGTCACGGCAACACACACACGCACACTGAGTGCCGGCAACACACACACACACATTGCCGGCACCCCACACACACACACACAGAATGAAAATGAAAAAAATAGACAAATTACCTGAATGTGTGTATCGCCGGGGAGGGGAATAGCCGGGGAGGGGAATCGCCGGGGAGGGGAATCAATTGCAGGCTTGAATGCCCAAAAAATGTATTTGAACGTCCTCTCTATATCGGTCCAACCCGGTTGCCATTCTCACTCTACAACTGTGCCGGGGTTGCTCTTCTCTAGGGCGGCGAAAAATCTAAATTAAAATAAAAAAATTAATCCTTATTTTATTCCTAAATTACAAACAAATCAAAAAAATTAGATAGGACTTAAGTAAATACCTTGGAAGTATGTCAAAATTGGAAACCCAGTCGCCGTAAACAAGATCGGTAGCTTTTCTCCTTCCCTCCCATGCCCTGTGGTAAGGAACATTGACATGCATACGGTCTTTCACTTCTTCCTGAACGAGCTTCACTTCATAATCTGGGTCCAACTCAACCTTATGCCTTATGAGATGCGCAATAAGCGTTGCGCTCACATTCCGATTATTGTTTTCCTCAGTGACATTCATACAATTGTGCTCGGGCACCCATTTCACAATCTCCCACAAACCGTGGTCTCTCAAGGAGGCACGTACCTTCCAACGGCAAGGAACATAACCCTTAGGGGTTGACTCTTTTAGGGATTTGCACAAAATATACCATGTTGAACCATCACTTTCCTTCACATAAAACTCTCTCTTTTGCTCTATGTTCCACGCTGCAGTACCATTTTTTGCTTCTTCCTTATTCTTGAAACAAGTCCCTATCCCAATTGTTGCGGTTGTCCCGTCCCACATAGTAAGTTGAAAATCATCCTTGTCCACTTTTGTATGATCCCATGTACCATGTGAACGATATATGTGCCTATCCTTTGTGGCGAATTTGTCTTCGACCTCTTCATCACTCTCCCGACTTCCTTCGGATATTGATTGGTTTTCATCGCTTTGATCACTTATCGATGTGTAGTCCTCATCATCTTCACCGTGATTATATTCCATGTGATCGCCATCCTCCATAAACGGTCCACCCACATCATCATCTTCCATGTAATCGACATTCTCCACATTCGGCCTACCACTAGTTGTCCCTACTTCCAAATGGGACCTAGAAGTACCCGCCACCTCCAAATCTACATACAAATCAATATATGTCGAACTTGGGAGGAAATACAACACTTGCAACGATGCGTCGTCCTTGATTTTGGCGATACGCCTAAAACCATTGCGCATCGTATCATACAAAATCGATAGACTCAAATTCACATTCTTTCTATTCCACCCCACTCTTTCACAAATCAGTCCAACCAAATCATTGTACGATAATTTATGATCAATCACAAAGGAATCGTCCGGCATGTTGTTAAAACTATTCACAATCCCATTCTTCACTACAAATTTGCTCGACCAATAGACATTAATGAAATATGGGCCGTTAAACGCCATTTATATCTGTTGATTATATGAATTACAACACATCATGAACAAATTATTAAAAAAAATGACACAAACAAGGCATTATCAAACAACTTATTATAACAATTACCACAAACAAGGCATAATCAACACTAAATTTACTAAACCCCCTACAAATTCAAAAGTTTAGGCCAAATTCAAGCATTTTACTAAATTGAACGTTCAATACCACGTATACAACAATAATCATCAACTACACCCAACATCAACCCTAAAACCTTATAAATCATCCTAGTTCTAAACTTTTACAAAGAAAATAACAACAATATTTCTAAATACATCAAAACATTAACTAACCTTCTTATGAAATGATTTTAAGACATCCGTTGCGAAGAATCGTGAACAAAATCTTCAAATCGCCACTAAAATCACCTCCTCCTTCAAGAAATAGCCTACTTTACCAAAAATCCCGATACGTGAACAGTGTTTTCCATCGTCCCATTATAACACAAAAAGGTCGGATTTCTAAAATCCAATTTTACTTATAAAATCGGATTTTCTAAATCCGATTTAACATAAAGGCCGGATTTCACGAATCCGACCTTCTGCCAACTAATAACGTCCATTCAATGCCGATACCTACTGTTAGGTATGCTTAAATAAGGTCGGATTTTGTAAATCCGATCTTGTACTGTTCTTAATTTTCAAATCTCCCGTCTATATTTTTTAATGAAAATAAACAAGGTCGGATTCCTAAAATCCGACCTTTGACTGTTCTTTATTTGACTTTCAATACATTTTTCTCACATATATTTTCCGGAAAAAAAATTGTTATTTTATTAAATCGGATTCTTAAAATCCGAACTACTAATTTAATTAGTCGGATTTTGAGAATCCGATCTTCACATTTTTCTTTACAAAAAAAATAAAAATATATATATATATAGATCTCTCTACTCCTTTTTCTAGTTGATTTTTTAACCAAAGCACCCGATAAATCATAGTTTTTTTTCTTCTTCTTTTGGTGCGTAAATGACTCTATGGTGATGAGTGATGAATTGATGATGATAATGACGATGGGATGATGGATGATGAAGAAAATGGGGGGAGGACGTTATGATGACCAGGCCTTAGGAGAGGAGAGGAGAGTGCGGCGGCGGCCAATGAGTTGTGTGATGCCCTTAGGTTTTTTTCTTTTCATCTCTATTTTATATACTTTCAAGTTTCTATAATAATAAATTAATATATTTACTATTCAAATAAAAGATATTTTGAGTTTGTAATTTTCTTCCCAATTAAAAAAAAGATAAAGATATTTTGAACTAACGAAACTTTTTCATTAATTATTATATTTACTTAAATTATTATTAGTTTGATTAATTTACTCTAGCAGACTTCCAGTTTGGGTAGACTTCAAATTAACCAAATCATTTTGAAATTCAAATTAAACAACTACTTATTAGAAAAATTGTATGTATGTAAACCCTAATAAACGAGCTTATAAACTTCATTAACATAGATTTATTATGTATGTAAATTGATTTGACGTCCTGTTGCCCAAAATATAATCAACCCTTTTTAAGCCGATGGTCTCATTCTCAAATGTACTATTTTACTTGAGTTTGCACGAAACTTTTTTATTGTTTTATATTAATGTTTCAAAGTGTAATGAGTCCAATGTTATGCGTAATTACTCAAATATTGTTACTAAATTTTTGGTTAGCCAAACCCAAATAGTACATGTTTTGATTATCAAACTAATAAATAATATATTAATTCACCGCACAACGTGCGGGAATAATACTAGTATACATTAAAGGAAAGGAGATGGGGTGGTGACGTGTCTGTCAATTGCCCGCCAATTGATTTCATTACACATGTCAGTTAATGATTGGTCATTCATTGATAGTTATAATATATTAGTAAAACAGTTACTTTGTAAATTTACCATGTATTGAGTTATATTTTAATTAGTGACTTTTTTTATTTAAAGATAAGATAACAATATCAAGATAATCTCAGATTTCTAAAACATCAATTCAAAATATGAACTTAATCTATGTTATAGAAAATATAATTGAATAAGGTATATATTAAATAAGATTAATATCGTCGTCATTTTTCTTATTTTGTTATCCTTTTACAAAATTAAAGTATTCACATTCACATTTACATTAGTCTAATTCTTCTCACCGAAATCGATAAGCAGCCAGACTTTCAATGTATTTCTTTTTTTTTTTTCTGCAGAGCATTGGGTCTATCGCGCTTCTATATGAAATGAATTCAAAAGCATTTCATCTTTTCTTAATACATCATAATTAGACATTTATGCGATTAATTTAATCAATTAAACCATCAATAGAATCATTGACACGGTTGCGTTAACATTGGTGATTTACTAAACTGTAAATTCAATTTAATTAAATTGTTAAACACAAACTTACATCCTATTGAGTTTTACTTTGAATAATGAATATAATCAGATTTTAATTTCGTATAGAGGATAAAATCTATCATTTTTAAATTTTTTTAAAAACACTTAACACGAAGAGAAAATTTGCCTATATCAACAAAAAAAACAAAAGGAAAAATGTCCATGTCTAATGACTTCATAATATAGGCACTAAGATAATCATTATCTCAATTCAAAATTTTTTTAATAACGTGATTTGTAGATAGTGATTATGGAAAGATTAAAACTTTCTACCCAAATTATTTCCATTTAACTTAATTAAAATCACCACATAAAAAAGGGAATATATCATAATCGTAATTTCATTGATGATGATTGACCGAAAAGAAAATCCTAAGCCTTTTTTTACTTTTTATTTTTTTGGTACAAAAATTCTAATAAGTCATCTGGTCTTGCACTACAAATGTGATATCTTTATGGATAAAGAGCAAACTAATGAATAAAAGCAAAGTTGCTAAGGGAAATAACTCGTATTGACTTTCAAACTCTTTCTCTCAATCTCTTCGGTTAAACTAATAACTTAATATGAGTATAATATAAAATTTTATTAATTAATAAAAATTATTTAAAATTTTGAATGTAAACCATAAACATAGAAATATTTGACATTTTCTTTTGTAATGGAATGATATAAAAAAGGTACGTGTAGTTTAAAATTAATAATATCATCATCCCACATAAATTATTTCACGTATAAAAGAATTCATCCATAATTGACATGCCGCACAAAGTGCGGGTATAATACTAATATGAAGTCAAAATAGATACGATTGTAATTCTGATCAGATAATAACATTGTACAATTCGTAATATTTTATTTACATTGTACACAATTGTACAATTCCTCTTATTTTATAGTACTCGCGCAACGCAGGAACGACTACTAATAATAGTAATTTACGTGGTCTAAAATACAAATTGTCAAAATCTTAATGTTACAGTGTGTAAGTGGAGTCTCGCTTCCCGGCTCGGTCAAAGCTCGTGAATTTGAGTAATAATGGTTAATGGTTTACTCATATGCATCATAACATGTTTGTTGAAATGTCCGAATGGACTTTTGGTTTTTGGGAGCTTGTCGAGCCGAACTCAAGCTGCAGACCGGGTTCATTGAGAATTCCTAAATAAGTCCTATCATTCCTTTTATTTGGATTTTTCCAGCCCTAATTTCACTGACTTCATCACTATCACTGTCACTCTCTTTCTTTCTTAAAACTCCATATCCAATCATCCTCCAAAAAAGCCTCTACCAATACAGATCTCTGCCGACCAACGTTGGATCTCCTTCCATCCTTTCACCCCTTTTTCCATTTACTGTCTTCCCGCTTCAGGAGCTTAAATCTGAGTGTTTTTGAGCCATCGGATAGCTGCTGCTGCCATCCCCGAAGCCAATAGCAATGGTATGATTACTGTCTTATGAATGTTCTTCTTTGTTGATATATCTGAGTTATTTTGTAATTTAGGTGTACTATTTTGTTTCAATGAAAGTAGAAGCATTCCTTGTAACAAGACTTTAACTTAGTTTAGTAATTTAGGATGACTTGAATCTGAAATTTGCTGTTCCACTCACTTTTTACATGTATGTATTTTGGTTCAAGATATGGACCCTTTGAGGAGAAATTACGAAATTGCACTTCGCTTGGTAGTGTATCGCAATGGCCAATTTTTCTTTTTTCTTTTTCTTCTTTTGGACGGATGTGAGAAGATCTTTGGATTTATGTATATCGATATGATCAGGATTTACGAACTAGAAATGCAAGTTGAAAAATTTGGTTGATTGGTTCCTGTAATATGTCCTTATTGAGGTCGACTTACTTAAATGGCTTGTGATTAAGGGACAATTCTTTTGAGTATTGATTATCTGTTTTATGACATCGGCTTATTGAATGATCTGTCATGATACTCGGGGTCAACCTTTTCTCCTTTATGGGAAAAGAAGAAACAGTTCTGTTTATTGTTCAAACTATGCTTTTCTCTTGAGCTTCCTGAGTGGCGATAAGTTGCAGAATTAACTGTTAGACAAATATTCCCATTTAAGTTTACTTGTTCGACTAGGTTAATCTTAGCATGATGTAACTCTTGTGCTTCATATTGAATTGGTAGCAATTATGACATGCATAAAGAGCCTTGTTCTCGAATTTGTATATTAGTAGTATCCTTTTCTCCTCTCTATTAATTTCCAAAGGGATGCAAGTTTATGGTGGGTTTTTAAACATCAAATTTAGTTACACAATCTTGGAAGTGTTTTTTGTTTGCTTTTCTTTAATCTCTTTTTTTTTTTTTTTTGGGCGGTTAATGTTATCTGATGCTTGCTTTACTCTATTGACAGCGGAAGAGATGGAGAGGTTGTTTGGGTGGGTTGTCTTGTTTTGGCAAGCAAAAAGGTGGAAAACGTATAGTCCCTGCATCTCGTATTCCTGAGGCAAATTCGACACAAAATCAGCCTAATGGAGCACAAGTTGGAGGTTTGAGCAATCAGAACGCAGCATTATTAGCTCCGCCATCTTCACCTGCTTCATTCTCGAATTCGGCGCTCCCATCTACAGTACAGTCGCCCAGCTGTTTCTTGTCGGCAAATTCACCTGGGGGTCCTTCTTCCAACATGTATGCCACTGGTCCTTATGCCCATGAAACTCAACTGGTATCCCCTCCTGTTTTCTCAACCTTCACTACTGAACCATCGACTGCTCCTCTCACACCGCCTCCCGAATTAGCACATCTTACCACCCCTTCTTCCCCGGATGTACCATATGCCCAGTTCCTGACATCTTCTGCTAGTTTTAAGAATGGTGGGAAGACTAATTATGTTGCTGCTAATGATCCACAAGCAGCTTACTCACTTTTTCCGGGAAGTCCTGCAAGTGCTCTCAGATCTCCTGTTTCAAGGGCATCTAGAGATGGTTTATCATCATCTTTCCCAGATAGAGAATTTTCACCACAATGGGATCCTTCATCCGTTCCTCAAGATACTACATTTGCAAGGTCAGAATCTGGGAGGCTGTTTGGGCTTGAAGCAAGTGGTGGATCCAAGAAGCCTCAAGACTCAAATTTCTTCTGTCCAGCAACATTTGCTCAATATTATCTGGATCCCTCTTCGTTTCCGCAGTCTGGTGGTAGGTTAAGTGTCTCTAAAGAATCAGACGCTTACTCAAATGGAGAGAACACCCATCAGAATAGGCAGACCAAGACTACTAAACAGGATGTTGAGGAATTAGAAGCTTACAGAGCCTCTTTTGGCTTCAGTGCTGATGAAATCATCATAACATCTCAATATGTTGAGATTTCTGATGTCTTGGAGGATTCATTTAGCATGACACCATTTCCTTCAAGCAAGCATCTTGAAGATGAAAATGGTTTACATGCACCAAGAATTGAGGAAGCAAAGGCAGAGAAAAAACAGAAGGAAAGTCCAGAATACTTCAAACCTGTATTAAATCCAATTGTTGTTGAGAGAAAAGTGCAAGTTTCAAGCAACAGACACGAAGGTAAAAAGAACTTACTAGTTCCATTATTGATATCTGTTGGGTGGTCATAATTATTTTACTCTGTTTCGTATCTCTTTAAACTTAACCAGAATTCTGAATTTTTACTTTGATGGCTTTTGTGGTACACCTTACTCATCTTTGTTTCTTGGAGCTTTTCTGTCTTACTGTGTTTATTTTTATCCAAAGGCAATAACCTTATCATTTTCTGTCTCAGCTAATGTCCCGGGGAAGCATTCTAGTGACTATTCAGCCCGAAGTGCATCAGGGGCTCACATTCTGAGTGATGACGAGGACATCTTTTCTAAGATGGGAGCTTCCCGAATTAATAGAAAATATCATCTTGGTTTGTCAAGCTCTGATGCAGAAATTGAGTACAGGAGGGGGAGAAGCTTAAAGCAACGAAAAGGAGACTTTGCATGGCATGACTAACTGTCAAGATTACCGGAGCACCAACTGCATCTCATATTTATTAATCAGAGCTTGCATTTTGTATTTAATTGGGGGGTTTTCTTTAGTAGGTAACCTAACCTTTGATCTAACCCCTTTCCCTCGCGCTCTTTCTTGTGTGTTTGTAATGTCTCTTGAGTCGTGTTACGTGTCCAGTTATAGTATGGAGCAAATATTATTTACTTGGGGTGTAAGTTGTTAAGGAACGCTTCTGTCTGTAAATGTTCATGTATGGAATATATATATCATCTATCATGTGCCACCCTATGAAAAGGGTTATTGGCCCTAGGTTTCCTCCATGTATCTGTTTGATTACTTAGAGGTCTTTCAATACCAAGCAGTATTGGAAATTTCTGTTACTGCCATCTGCAGTAGTAGATCAACTGGAGGCATCATAAACATATCAAAACATGTTAAATGTAACTTTTAAAATGTCACGTACAAATGTGTTAGCAACGATTTGGTCCCGTCGCAGAGTCCATCCATAGTATCAATTAAACTTCTCCTCCTTCCAGGCCATCTTATAAATTTCGTTTTGATCTCTCTTAATTGATTGTAAGAGAAATGAAATTAGAAACACCATACTTACCTTTTAATCCTACAGATTTAAGAATTTCATTTAATTCACATTTTCCACATAAGTCACAGATATTACAATCAACTGAAAGTACTGAACTGTAACTTCTAACTGCTAATTTATTTTTTTCAAAAAAAAGAGTTCATAATAAAATATTTTTAAAAATTTGGTGAAGATGTTTTATTTTATCCTTACTGACATCATCCTCTCAACAAGTCAAGGTTGAAGAAGACCGGAAAGGAGTCAACTTTCCAACCTTAAATTGTCTAAAAGCGCGTTAAAATAATCAAAACTTTCAACTGTGCTGATGTGATTATTCTTCCTCTCCACCCATCAAAAGTCTTCATTATTTTGTTCTTCTCTTCTCATTTCCACAACAAAATTCCACCATTTCACTCATTAGACAGTGACTGAAGTGCTTCTTTTTCCGCCAATGGCAGCATCCCTTTTGTTTTTATGCCCAGAAAGACGAAATTTTTCATCATAATCACCTCAAGAAATCACAAGAGAAGAAAACCATCCATGGGTTCCCTGTTCTGGTGCTCATTCTTACTGGTTCTAATATGTCAGTTTCAGAATTCAAGGTCCCAACAGAGCTATCTTGACAATAAGCAATTTGATTGCGGGGCAAATTGGAGCACGGCTTTGGGTTTTGTCTGCAACGGGGCAGCTAAATCATGCAGGTCATATTTTACTTTCAGGTCAATCCCTCCTTACAATAGCCCTGTTTCCATTGCGTATTTGTTTAAAACAGATCCACCCGAAATTGCAAGAATCAACAATGTTTCTGATGTGGGCACAATCCCAAATGACACCCTTGTTGTTGTTCCTGTCAATTGTTCTTGTTCTGGTCAATTTTATCAGCATAATGCAACTTATGTGTTGAAAGGAACTGAGACTTATTACAGTCTTGCTAATGAAACTTACCAGGGACTCACTACTTGTCAGTCGTTAATAGCTCAGAATCCCTACAATTTTAGGAATTTACTCGAGAATATGAAGGTTAACGTTCCTGTGAGGTGTGCTTGTCCTACTGTAAATCAGACTAGATCAGGAATTAAGTATCTTTTAGCTTATGTTGTGAGCTCTGGGGAGTATTATGAAGAAATTTCTAGTTTGTTTAATGTTGATGTGCAAAGTATATATGATGCTAATGAGCTGTCTTCTGAACACCTTATCTATCCTTTTACTCCCCTTTTGATCCCACTCAAATCTGAAGCAACTCATATCAATACTTCCTTGATTTCGTTGCCTCCACCTTCGCCTCCGCAGCTGCCTTTAACGCCTGCCGCGCCTGGTAAAAGTTCCTCCCACAAGTGGGCTTTTGTTGGTGCTGGAATTGGAGCTGGTATTCTGCTACTTTTCTTGTTAGTTGTCTTTGCCCTGTGGTTTTTCCGGTATAGAAACCAACCAGAAGCTTCTTTCCCTGAGGTTGAGAAATATGCCGATTCTAGGTCTGCTGATGTTAGTAAGGGATTTCCAGAAGTGGAAAGCAAGTTATGGTCTGAAGACGTCAAGTATGCGGTTGAAAGCCTGACTCATTACCAGTATGAGGATCTGCAGAATGCCACGGATCATTTCTCTGAAGGGAATAGGATTAAGGGATCTGTTTTCCGGGGAAATTTTAAGGGGGATTTTGCGGTTGTCAAGATGATCAAGGGTCAGGCGTTAGAGGAGATCAATGTGCTTAAGCAGATCAATCATTCCAATATAATTAGGCTTTCTGGTTGCTGTTTGCATGATGGAAATACTTATCTTGTGTATGAGTATGCTGAGAGAGGATGCCTTAGTGACTTATTGCATGATCAGAATAAGGGCATTGGCAGCCATCACGTGTCGGGAAGAGAGGACGATTCATATTTGGGTGAATTGACATGGAAACAAAGGATTCGGATTGCATATGATGTTGCTGATGCTTTGAATTACCTTCACAACTATGCCAATCCGCCCTACATTCACAAGAATTTAAAGAGCAGCAATATTCTCTTGGATGGTAACATGAGGGCCAAGCTTTCCAACTTCAGTCTAGCAAGGACTTTGACTACTGAAAATCAGAGTGACAAAGAGGGTTTCAATCTGCAAATGACGAGGCATGTAATTGGAACACACGGTTACATGGCTCCTGAGTACATAGAGAACGGATTAGTCACACCAAAACTCGATGTGTTTGCTGTTGGTGTGGTGATTTTGGAGCTGTTATCTGGCAGGGAACCAGTCCATAGTCTAGGTGAAGCAGGAAAGGATGGGCAAGAGGAGTTGCTTTCTGAGATTATTAAGAAGGTGTTAGATGGCGAAAATGTTAGGGAAAAGCTGCGTAACTTCATGGATCCTCATCTCAGAAATCAGTATCCCTTAGACCTGGCATATCCAGCTGCTGAACTGGCTAAGAACTGTGTGGCTCACGATCTCAACGCTCGTCCAGCAATGGCAGAGGTTGTAGTCACTTTGTCCAAATTACTTTCATCATCACTGGATTGGGATCCTTCAGATGAACTTGAACACTCTAGATCTCTAAGCCATGGAAGATAGCTCAAATGTGTTGAATCTCTGCTTCCGATGTCGAACAAACTCTGCTGAAATAAATATCAGGTAGAGTGAGGCTACTTTCTTTTTCCTCACATCTTCCACATGCAATATTTTATATAGTAGCGCAGAATGAAGTTTTTTTTTTTTTCTGGCTCTCCTGCTGTACACCTGGTTACATTAGACAAGAAAATCCTATGCTATGTTTTGTTGATGATTTCATGTTCACAGCTCCGGTTCAAATTGCATTGTTGATTTTCCTCTTCTTTCTTACCAACTTAGTTGGTTTATAGTAAAATGGATATAGCTTGTGGGAGGTCTGTTCCATTAGGCGTTAGCCATTACAAAAGGGTGTACCGAAGTTCATTAACCAACTGAAAAGCTCCAAAGTCCCCATCCATATCGCATTCCCCCCACCCCCACCCCCACCCAAAAAAAAAAAAATTCTCGCACAACCTCTTCACGTATTCTGAAACCAAACTAGGGACGTAGTTCACTTACTTGAATGCTATTCTTTCTATTACAGGAAAAAGATAGCCCTGATTTTGTTCACTCTAGCGAACTAAATTGACGAGAAAAGAATCAGACGATGATGTGAAGGAGTGGCAATAGATGACTACCAGTCTGCACCAGATATGCTAGGCCTGCTAAATCAGTAACCAGATTTAGGAGCATCTACAAATCATGATATCGTATAACTCCCCAAATTCGTATCAGCCCATCTCATCCAGAAATGTAAATAGCCACCTCGTGTTCTCACTTCTCATCAAGCTGTAACAACTCAACAGAGAGGGATCAAATGTACAAAACGAGTAGTATTCAAATGGCACGTTCAAAAATATAACTCTCATGACGATAATAATAATCTTGGAGCTCCTGATTTTGCTGCCAACGGCATAGTTTGCTTCACTGACTTAGTGTATGGTTTGCACCCCGGCTTCTATTCATGCAATTTGGCATGCAGTAAACCAGGTTCTAGATGTCCTACAAGAATCATTTACCTTTGATCAAATGTATAGAAGATCCAATTCATCCGGGAGTTGGATAAACAGATGATGCATAAGCTAAATTGAAAAGTGGGGTGATGAAAGAAGTATGGCGTCAAAGAACCTTGGACAAAAGTATTTACAATTGGACCTCTTGCGAGGATCAACTGCCCTGTAGGGTTCTGGGAAAAACCATAAGGATGAGAAGGAGCTCTTGCGAGGATCCACTGCCCTGTAGGGTTCTGGGAAAACCATAAGGATGACAAGGAGCTCATCCTACTAATGGAATCTACCAATGGACAGTTGATCTCATTTGTCGCAGCAATTGCAACATCATTAGTGCTGATACTGCTGGAGGATAGGGATTAGGAGATATGATATTTGTAGGTGCTCATCAATTTTGTAGGTGCTCATCAATTGCAAATGTCAAATGCAATCAAAGTTTAGATGCTGTACATCACAAACTGAGTATAATTTGAGGTGAAAGCATTCTGAATGGAACTTAGGCAGGTTCTACTTACACAAGATATGGAGGAGAATCTTCAGTTCTTTTTACGCCCCTTCACCTCTTGTAATTTAATGGTTTGCTCTGTAGTTTAGCCTTGTTCCACGTATGATGACACATTTGATATGCATCCGAACGAGTAATCAGACTGGTTATGATCAAGTTTTAGGCTTTCCGACTGTTTCTCAATGGTATTTGTCGTACAATCACTCTCAAATAATTGGTTGTTCTTTCAATATTTTTCCCATCGCTTTCTCAACTGTCCTTTTTTTTTTTTCCCCCTGATCTCAGTAATGTAAGTGAATCAGTTCTATAGGCCTTAGCACATCTGCATCTCTGCTTTGTCATCATTGAACAGAATCTCGAATCTTAAACTAGTCTAGCTTTTCCAAAATGGAAGTACTGTTCAATCAGGGAAGTATGCCAAATGTGACTTCTCCAATTACGTTTTTGTTTGTTGATGTGAGTCAAATATACGTGTATTTATATAAGATTTCACAACTCATTTCCTTGTATTTAGACTCATTTCGATGGTGTTGAGAGTCAAAAGTGCACATTTCTTATGCATTGTTGTTTATCTTTGGTAGGACGAGCAAATGTGTTGAAACGAAAGCAAAAATATCAATCAAATGACCAAAAGTGCAAAAGCGTTGATCAACGGCGAATGGTCCACCTTGAAGGGCTCATAACTTGAACTAGAAACCTCCGTTTGGAACCAACCAAATATGCCTACGAAGCTCAGAGTGGGAACTACAACATTCAAGCAGATCACTTCTTCAAATTCAGGCGTTTTAATGATCGAAACTGCAGTTGAA